GGATCGCGCCGCTCAACAAAATAGTTCCGCAGTTCACGTGAGAGTTCGCGTTTTAACTCTATGTTAAAAAATTTATTTCTCGTGGAACCTGGTTCGTAAATGCGGATGTGCATAAGTCAAGGACTGCCTCGATAGTCGATAATGCTGACCTTGAATTCTGTGTGAAATTGGAGTTGGGTTAAAAAAAGTGTTTACGGCTGAAGAAACTGGTTGTGACTGGAGAAGCTGGTTATGACTGAGGGCACTGGCTGTGACTGAAGAAACTGGATCAGACTGGATCAGACTGGAGAAGATAAATCTGGACATGCTGGCCATTTAGAAAAAGTACATACTGCAAAAAGAACTCGTTTTTATTTATTTAGCGAATAGCTCTTTGACGCGACTTCCCACAGTCAAATCACCAGATACATTGACCATATTTCTAGATAAATACATGTTATTTAAGCGAACGTCAGCCCACATAGCCACAGAGCCATTTTGCAGCCTCCTCCTCCGGCACGTGCAGGGCATTCAGCTCGCCTGGCATACCCTGACACGTTTCTGCCTGGCCAGGTGGAAGGTGCCATGCTGTTTAGGGTCGTGTACCAAGTGAAAATCGTACTGTGATGCTCACTCCACAAGCGCCTCGCCATTGCCATCAGACACTGCATATTGCCACTCTGTATGGTGGCTGTTAAAACTCCAGCGTATATTGCAGAATGCTGACACCTGGGTAGACTGACTGGTATACCCCATGAGTCATTTGGGGGTTTATATACATTGCAGACAGTATAAGAGGCAATGCGCAGACAACAGAGGTCGGCAGCGGTTCGACATCAACCAGTTCACATTTTACATACATTGCATAGCCATATTGTGGGTGCAGTGAGCAACAGACAAGGTCATATTCAGCTATCTTGAAACTCCCTGCTTGGTCGTCAGAAACGTGTCTCCTGTAAGCAGACAATGTCGATATTGTGTGAAGTGGCTACTTAATAAATGACATCACGTTTAGCTTCTGATAGTCCTTCCACTTTAAGCTGAAGAACACGGAGTGCTGGCCCCACAGCCCTGGAGCCTAAGCACTGGGCAGGAGGTGTAACTGGTGTGACTATAGTCAGGTGTCGGCCAGGATCATGACGATTCGGCCAGCTAGCTGCAGCTTCGGTTTCCCCAGACATAGCCAACATGACTGGGTACTTGCGGAGGACACGACGAGGACATAGCTGCATATGAACCTTAAGGCGGTACCCCGGCTCTCGCATAATGTCCATGATAGTCATTTTTAGTCTGTTGATGGTTGGCGATGCGGCAAACGACTCTTCTCGACGAGCTGTACAGGATGCACTATTCAAAGTTGAATTTTCTTTTTTTATGCTAATGTTTGGCGTTTCGACATCGCGGAGTAGCTCCACTGATTTCGAATTGAGTGGTTACCCCAGTCGCGGAGTTAAGTAACACCCCTGGGAAAAAAAATAGTGTCCCATAAATAAAATATTTAATTGCCTCGGCCTTTTGGTATTATTTGGTACCATATGAAATGAAAGTTCGTTTTATAATGCCAAGGCAGCTTCACTTTTATTTTTTATACATCATGCTACATTAGAAAAAAGTTTTGTTGACTGGCTGCCCTCCTGGCTGGATTCCTGACTGGCTACTACTAAAGTGTGCGTGCACAGTAATGACATTACCGCGCATATCTGCGCGACACCGTCATCGGCATCTCGCAACATTGAACCGGGTCCATGTGTAATGTAGCTCTCAGAGACGCCGTCTTGTTCAGTTATATGTATATTTATTATGAATAAAGTCCGCCGACTCACTGATAACTTAATGAGTAACCGCGAGTGACTATATACACTTGGGTAACTTAGATCTCTCATGCTCACATGTCCTTTGCATTGCAATCTCATACTCACATGCCCTTTGGTTTGCACCCTTTGGGTTACTCTCATGCCTTTGGATTGCATCACTCTTCGATTTTACATTAACATGCTAATCTCTCACATTAACATCACGCTAATCTCTCACATTCACATAGCCACTTCCGTGCCCTCGTCGTGGAGGCCGCTCTCCTATCTTTCAGTTACATGCTAATTTCTCACATTAACATCAGTACCCCGGTCACTTCTTTATGACCCCTGGGCTACACCCATTTCAAACGTTTTAAAGCAGTCTGCCTCAGCAGCAGACCAAAGCTTTCCCACCTGATGACAGACGCTTGTGTTGCGCCCGAAACGTCGTGATTTATTTTAATAATTTTTATACCTACGTGACTTTACCGAAAGAACCAAAGAGTATGGATTCCTGCAGTCACGAAAGCTTCAAATCAATATTTAACCTAGATAACTCTCTTCTGAGACAACACAACTCTAGCCTTTCAAGACTACCAAGTGTCCACTCCAGGATGATGAAGACGACTCGCTCCAAGGTGACGACGGCGACGGCAGTTCCCCCACAACAGCAGCCCAGAGCCCCGGTTCACGGCGGCTTTTATCCCCCTCGCGACCCAGCCCCGCCCCCATTCCCGAACCATCTCACCGCGCCTGGCCCTGTCTGTGTTTGCCCTTATTACAATTTACGACCGTTAGGTCCCCTGCTTTCCCTCGGATGACCCTGTCAAAGCTTGTGGCATCAATCATTATTAGCGACCACTTAGGTCCCACATTACCCTAACGTGACCCTGTCTGTTCCCGTTACGTTAATTCGTAACCATGGCCACGGGGAGCCGTACTGTCCCTACATCACCCCGTACTGTCCTTACACATATGTAAAGACAGTACAGAGCGATAGAGGGACAGTGTGGACCATGGTTACTAATGGACGTGCTAATGATAATTGACGGGACGAGCGTTGACAGGGTCACGTGAGGGGGAGCACGGGATCCAATGGGGGGAAAGTGTCATAATGGGTGGAGATTGACAGAGGCGGCTGGTGCGGTGAGCAGAATTCTAGAATAGGGGCGAGGCCGGATCGGGCGAGGTGCGAACCGGACCTGGGGGCTGTTGTTGTGGGGAATCGCCGTCGTTGTCGCCTTGGAACGGGTCGTCTCCATCGTCTTCGAGTTATCTTGAGGCTAGAGGCTATGTTGTCTCAGAATAGAGTCGTCTAACTTCCCAAGTGTATATAGTCACTCGTGGTTACTCGTTGAGGTGTCGGCAGACTTTATCCATAATAAATATACAGAAAGACAAGACGGTGTCTCTGAGAGCTACATTACACGTGCATAGCACAGACGTCACGCCTACCCAACCTACCTACCCACCCTCCACCCCGGCCATGGATCCCGTGCAAATGCGCGACCAGTGCTATGGTATCTAAAATAAAATAAAAAGATCGTGTGCAAATATTACACGAAGGATCGTGAAAATAATAAGGAAACAAAAAGACGTAATACTGCCAGCCACAAAGACCTTACCACGTGGTGTTTATGCCATCTATGCCCCGAGTCTTGATGCTGAGTGTACCGAGCTACTTCGACGATATGAGCAGTCTGGCTACCTGGAGGTAACGACTCCTCTGATTGGCAACCTCGAACATCGTGCGGCGTGCTCGCTGGAAGGAACTAGTCACCAATGCAGACTTCTGTAAATGAAGCAGAAGGGCCTGAGCAACTTGTCCGCGAGCTCGGTGCTGCCCAGTGACCACCAGGGCGCAACCAACCACCGGTTACACAACTGGGTGCAGGTTGCCAAAACCAATTGGATCAAGGCGCATGAGCTTCATGTATGCCACGAGTGGTGGAAATACCTGCAGCCTCGACATTGCACGGTGTGCTCGCTGGGAAGAATTTGAAAACTTTTTTTCTGGTTGGCAGGACGCTATGTCCTGAGGCAAACGGTCATATCCAAAGGACATTTGGGCTGCTCGTTAGAAATACATCTAAAGGGGAAATGTATGTCTTTTACTGATTAATGTATAGTGTAGTTACAATTCTAGTTTGTTTGTTGAACCAGGTGAGAACTCAAAATATATCTGGACTCCTCTCACTTGAAGTTACCTAGATCACCAACACGAAAACATAGAGTACAGTGATTGGGTGTATTCACTGGTATGTTAAAACATATTTAGGACTCCTCTCATTGGACAATTTCCAATTTCCCATGACCATATTTTTCTTCGGGACCCCTCTCCACTTTCAAATCACACCCTGCTCATAGTGCTCCTCTCTTAAGGCATCGTTTGTTTTAGGTTTTGGTGCCATTTCTTAATTTTTTGTATTAATTTTGAGATTTTGCTTGGTATGTATGTGCGCGTTGTGTTGGGCTTCTCCTGCGCCGTACATAGCCCACCGCATAGGTGGGAGTTAGTACTTTTATATAGTTAATGTACAGCCTTGTGGGATGCTGTTGGCACGAATTACGCTATATAAAGTGAAAGTTTTATTACAGTAAACCCTTGTTAATTCGACAAATATGGGGCTCTGGTCTTGAATTATGTACAATGGTACTCCCCAGTAACTTCTGCCGCAATTAAAAAAAAACGAATTTGTTTCCAAACTTTTCACACGCTATAGGCATCAACACACCTGCATCAACGCTATCTAAAACTTTGGATTTTTCTCATAGAATACGGGATTTATTCTTCAGTCCCATTCTATTACCGCTTGATGTAGGTGTAGACGACAGTTCTGAGAGTGTTGGCTTGCACAGAGTGCATCAACAAGGTCAATCCCGAACGACAACGGTTTTGCACTGACGCTCACCACACGCGCCGCGACCAGACTCAGTCGTTTTGGTCGTGTTGCACGGCGTCGCTCCACGTGTATACCGAAATTGGGACCATTCGGTACGGCAATTCGGCTCGTGGCGAATTACTCGTACTGTATATAATGCGGAAAGTGCAGCCGTGCCGAATTATCCCCGATTATCAAATACCGAAATGGCGAGGTTTTGCCGTATTGTGATACCTTTCTAAACCGTGAATGTTGTTTGTACCTCTAGAGGGCGCAACCCATGTTGTGATGTTGCAGGCAGGATGGAGTTGCATTTTTCACTTTTGCCTTCCCCCCGCCTCCCCAGAGTGTCTCTGGCTGGAATGCACATCTCTCGACCATCGGGCGAGATTGGCCGATGCCGGATGATAAGGCACACAAATGACAAGAACAATGAGCCGAACCCACAAAGGTGAGTTGGACCAGCATCGGCTCAGCGCGTGGCGTGCGTTGCGTGAGCAGAGGTCATTTGCGTGAACACAGTTCAGTTGCATGTGCAGAAAGGAGAGGCAAATAAATGGAATTGTATGGAGTCCTATGATCCTTGTGAAGTAACACAATCATCTTGCTTTTAGACCAGGAAGCCACGATATATACCGATCAGAAATAGCCAATAGCAAGCTTTAAACGGGGTGATCCTGTGTTCCCCATGCTCCAATAATGAGCAGTAAAGGTGCAGCCCATTAAATTACTGTCTCATGTCACTGCTGATGGAAGGCCCTCCACTAGAGTGAGTTGTATCGAGAGGGTCGATGTCTTCAATGCTGGATGGATGTCTTGTAAAAGGTGGGAGTACCTATAGTTTACTCTATCACATGCGATCGGCAGCTCGGCTAACTGTGGTGAACGCATTTTCACTGCTGGGAGCAGAGAGGCCGGGCAAACAAACAAAAGCATTCCCATTGTTTCAACTGCTGCACTGGAAGATGGAACTTGTGACTTGTCGATTGCAAGTCCGGTGTCACGGCAGCAGAATCCCCCAAATGAACAGCAGGGTCCCACCATCAACCTTCAGAAGCCTCGAAGTGGCTGGAGAGGCACTCCGAGGCCAAGTTTCGACATCGTGAAAGCAATGCCGTTGACGCTACCACAGTACACATCATCACCCTTGCTTGCTTACTTCTGCCAGATTCCTCAGCAATTGCACAGTTGAGGCCTGACCTACCAGGTCTGCTCTTTCGCATCCCAATTTTCTGTTGAAGATGTGAAATATTCCCTCCGCCCTTCACCCATGTTAGCTGATACCCTAGTACGGGCAGTCGTCGACTTGTGAACACAGTTAGTTCCTGAGACCCGTTTGTAAGTCAGAACGAAATAATGTATCGTATATTTAAATGCCCACCCACACAAACACTTGCAGCACGAGGTTGACCCATTACATATCGCGAAACAAAATAGTGCCGCTGTTCAATTCGCAAGTTTTAAGTCGATGTTTCAAATATATATTTCTCATGGAAGCTGGTTCGTAAGTCGAGGACTGTATGTAGTTCTTCGTGGCATCAACACGAGACCAGTGGCGCTGTCTATAGGATTGAGCGCAAGCCAGCAATATTTTAAACATTCCATTTGTTAGCCCTGAAGGTTGTCAATAGAGGGCAGTAGATGGCAGAAGAATGCAATGCTGCATCTCTGCCTGATGTGTCTTGGTGTCCCTCGTCAAAGATTTTCTTGAAGCATAGACGTACATACAGTACAATGGATTTTGATACACTTTCATTTGCTGCCCACAACGCAACCTGTAACGCCTGTTAATCACTATCCGAGCTCAAGCCTGCTTTGCTTCTGAGGTCTGATGAAATCAGGAGCATGCATTCTCGGTGGAGGCCGACCAAAGCTGAATTTCTGGTTTTGGCCGAACCCGAAAGTTAAAAATTTACTTTTGGCCGAAACCGAAACGATGCCGAAAGAGGCCATTTGTCAACTTTCGACGCCGAAACCGGATTTCGGTCGGCCTCTAATTCTTGGTGATGCGGTCATAGGTTTGTTGTATTTATATTTTGTGTGTGTGTGTTTTCTATGAGGAACGGTACCGTGTTTAGTGGACTGCGCTGTAAACCCAGTCACCCGGGTTCAATACCAAACTATGTCTAACAGTGGTGATGACTATGCTGACTGGTCATTAACCTCCACTCGGTTGATGTAGTCCTAAATTAGTATCTAATACATTGTGTATGCACTGGCACTCGACAGCCAAAGGTGGCCGGTGCGAGGTTCTGGCCACACCCACATGCTCATGTGCCATTCGGGCCTTCATAGGTGCTTGCAGGACTTTCCACAACCGCCTTTGTAAGTTGCATGGCGAATCTTTGCCTTTGCGTGTGCTGTGCGTGTGCTGCGTGTGTGTAGGTTCAACTTGATTCAGTCAACCAGAAGCACGATGTGGAAAGATGGCATCAACTCACTTCAGTACTCGCTGGTGGAAAAAACCCTCTATCCACTCTATACGAACCTCACGGTGAACGTTGGTAACCCCTAGAAGTAGGGACCCAGTGTGCACACCTTTCCAGGTTTGACTCGGGTATGAGCTGGGTTTGACTCAGAGAGTCCGGGAAATTGGTATCTGTTGTCAGGTGGCAGGGATTGATTTTTACCGAGATCTGGTGGCGTCGTGTTAAATTGTTGTCGTAAATGAGACTAATGTACATAATGTATGTAGTGTATTATGCATATTGGGCGAATGCCCACAGCTTGGGCCTTATTATGTACATTAGCTTAACTTTAGCCTCATGACCACATACCTGTCAACCCCTTATCAGTGCCTACTTTATTACAGACCAATTCAGACCATATTGGTCATGCCGTGCCCTTATACATCTCATCGTTCATCCTAGAAAGTACCATCACAAGGGAGAAGCACAAATGTAAAAAAATGTTGCCCGTATTGAAACGGCTATAGGCCGTATGGGGCATGAAAACTCTTTTTCCCTGTACAAGAATAAGGGTCGACTGGTATGTAACAGTGCACTGCACAGTCTTGATAGACCTAGGCCGACTGAAAATGCCTGAGTTTGGTCTTTGGAAAGGAAAAAGGGTGACAATCTTGTCTACAGGGACCTCGCTATATAGCTGTGGTCATTTGTTCCACAGATATATAGTGAGTTGTGTTTATATTGTAAATTAAATATTCTATATTCGGTGGCATCGTCTGGTTGGCATGAGCCCCTTCCATTTTTCTTGTAACCCGGAATCTGGGCACCACTGCCATGTGAGCGACTGTGCAGTTTCACCGCCTATACACATGATAACTGTGCCAAAGATCGGATTTACATGCAATGTGTGAGTGCGTTGCATTGATTACGGTTCGTTTTTGTTTTTGACCTGGGCTGAGAGGCTGTGTATTTGGGGTCAATCGCGAGGGATTATAAATGCCCGAAAAATAAGAATGGGTTCTACCCTTTCTGGCAATAAAACAGGCGTTAAGATATTCTTATTCTTGGTTCTTTCGCTAAAGTCACGTAGAAGGGAAACAATAAAATAATAAAAATATAAAACAATACAATTCTCACGACGTTTTGACTGCAACACAAGCAATGAAACAGGTGTGGACCAATCAGTTTCAAGGACAATGCATATATTATAGTATGTTTTTTTGTTGTTTGCATTTTGACTGCAGGTATAGTGGTTAATGCGGACATGAATCATCGTAAAAAGGTTTCAGTTTTGTTGCCAGAAAAAAGGGGGAAAACCCTATTATTATAATAAAACAGTTGTGTTAAGATGTTCAAACACCAAACAGATACCTTTGACAAGGAAATAAAGTCTGTATTAACCACACAGTACTTATGTTGAACATGCAAACAAACTCTGATAAATATTATGTGCATTATCTTTGAAACCGATTGGCCTACACCAGAGACAGCATTCTTCATGGCCTTGTCTCACCGGGGTCAGACCAGAGATCGCCAAGAGGCGAACAGCACAAAGACAATGCAGGGTGAGCAGCTCCTCACCCCAAGCTATGAATGCTGTGATACGTGCATTGTCTTTGTACTGTTTGTATGTTCACCACAAGTACGTGTGGTGAATGCAGTAACTCGATTCCTTGCAAAAGGCTTATATTTGGTCTTTGGTTTTTCGGTAAAGTCACGTAGAAATAAGAAATAATAAAATTGCATAATAGCATACTACATAATAGCATACGACGTTTCGATTGCAACGCAAGCAATCATCATCAGGCACAGAAGAGCTAAATTTAAGAGAGAGAGGAAACGCAGAACCGTAGACATACATACAGACACCTAAGTGTAGGGAGTTAACACAGAGACACAAAGAGAGACACACGTATGGGACACAGAGAGACAGGGTCTCTGTGCCGAGGCCTTAGCATGTAGGAGAGACAAAGAGAGATGGAGAAGCACACTAAATCGATAAAGATTTAGCAACATTTGGAAACAATATGATGCAACACAGAGGGTCGGTCAAAACACAATTGACGCATGGTCTGGTTGATTACGTTATTTCAATGATTGCTAAACTATAAGTTAAGTGTGAAATTTGAGAGAGAGATAAGACACACATACGGAGACACAAAGACAGACATACAAGTAGAGAGAGAAGAAGCAGAGACACAGAGAGGAATATAAAACAATACAGCGTAGATAGCCGGCCAACATAACAGTCAACACTCTACCTGGCTGAATACGTTCCTCTAAGGATTGCTAAATTTAAGGGAGTGATAGAATACAGATCGCAGACACATATATAGACATCTAAGCAGAGAGAGAGTTTGCACAGAGACATACAGAGAGAGACACACATATGGGACACAGTGAAACAGTGTCTCTGTGCTGAAGCCTTAAATAGAGGGAGAGGGGGGGCGGGGACTGAGAGATAAAGGGATAGAAATTAGCATGTACAAAGGGACTGACTCAGGTACTGCGGAGAAAGGGAACCGCAAAGTAGCGTGGGGAGGGGCACACATTAGCATGTACAAAGGGAACGTGGGGTAGCGCAGGGGGGGGGGGGGGGACAAAGATTAGCATGTACACAGGGACTGCGGAGAGAGACAAGACACATACACAGAGACACAAAGGCAGACACACAAGTAGAGACCACAACAGAGACAAACCCAAGTTAAGTGTGACATTTGAGAGGGAGACAAGACACATACACAGAGGCACAAAGGTAGGCACACAAGTAGAGACAACAACAGAGACAAACCCAAGTTAAGTGTGACATTTGAGAGGGAGACAAGACATACACGGAGACACAAAGACAGACACACAGCAGAGACAAACCCAAGTTAAGTGTGACATTTGAGAGGGAGACAAGACATACACGGAGACACAAAGGCAGGCACACAAGCAGAGACAACACAAAGACACATACTTGATACCTCCACGTAGAGGTGGTTCAAACTTGATTTGGCGCTTTCGCGACTGCAGGAATTACTCTTTGGTTTTTCGGTAAAGTCACGTAGAAATAAGAAATAATAAAATTACATAATAGCATACTACATAATAGCATACGACGTTTCGATTGCAACGCAAGCAATCATCATCAGGCACAGAAGAGCTAAATTTAAGAGAGAGAGAGGAAACGCAGAACCGTAGACATATATACAGATACCCAAGTGTAGGGAGTTAACACAGAGACAAAGAGAGACAACGTATGGGACACAGAGAGACAGGGTCTCTGTGCCGAGGCCTTAGCATGTAGGGGAGACAAAGAGAGATGGAGAAACACACTAAATCGAACAAGATTTGTGTTTTTACCGACCCTCTGTGTTGCATTATATTGTTTCCAAATTTTTGCTAAATCTTGTTCGATTTAGTGTGCTTCTCCATCTCTCTTTGTCTCCCCTACATGCTAAGGCCTCGGCACAGAGACCCTGTCTCTCTGTGTCCCATACGTGTGTCTCTCTTTGTGTCTCTGTGTTCACTCCCTCTACTTAGGTGTCTGTATATATGTCTACGGTTCTGCGCTTCCTCTCTTAAATTTAGCTCTTCTGTGCCTGATGATGATCGCTTGCGTTGCAATCGAAACGTCGTATGCTATTATGTAGTATGCTATTATGTAATTTTATTATTTCTTATTTCTACGTGACTTTACCGAAAAACCAAAGAGTAATTACTGCAGTCGCGAAAGCGCCAAATCAAGTTTATATTTGGTGTTTGAACATCTCAACACAACTGTTTTATTGCCAGAAAGGGTAAAGCCCCTATCATTATTTTTCATACTTTGATACTGACAAAAAGGTCCCGTGATATAATTGCCTCCTGTAGCGATATATAATCTGCTGAATGTAAACAGTGGCTAATAACGATCCTTGTTGATACATATTTTGACTTTGTAGAATTTATTTTTATATTAAAGCTGAGGGAAGGCCTCTTCATAAACACACTTTTCAGAGTGGTGAAGTATGACCAAATAACTTCCCACGACCCCCCGCACGGCATGGAGACACCCCTCTTCCAGCAGGGCATTGACGTGGCTGTACGTGTACATGCTGAATGGTACTTGGTGCATATTTGGTAAAGACACTTGAACATTAAGACATTATCATAGGAATACAATATAGTTGATGCATTTTGTCGAATTACCAAGTATTTAACTATATATTTTTACCTGTGATGTATGTATCAGTGTTGAGTCCAGGCTTAATTAAAGGGAAAAATGATCAAAGTGGAAATAATCACTAAAGTCAACATTATAATACAAAGTGTTGAGTTATTATCTCTTCATACCCATACAGGTTGTATTACGTGAGACTTTGGAAATTATTCAGACATGGGGTGGAATTATATTTTCATCGGTTTTAGGAGTTGGAAAAAATAAATGTCATCCTCCACTGCCTTTGGAATTGTTGCTCAAAAGCACATAAAAACAGACTTGTTTTCAAATCCCGTGCAATATCGTGCATGTAATTTCGTCAACATTTAAAGTGCATGTGGGCAGTAGCAATGTTTACATCTGAAAATATTATGCTTTATAAAATGTAATCTTGTCATGAAAGATGGATTCAGAAAATTGGTCACTGTGCTGTTAAACGTATGCAAAATGTGGCCTTGAGCCAGTTTGGTCTACAAGAATGTGTATTAGCCCAGAAATGTTTCTTTATTTTGTAATTTGCTTCCTAAATGTTAGTTTAGACGCATTTGCTGTGTTGTTATTTAATTCCCACAGCTTGCCTTTAGCCAAGCTTTGGGATTCTCAATCAGTGGGTTCGGGTCCCTGAATCCCTTAGCCCAGGGGTTGGCAACCTGCGGATCTTTAAGGACTGCTTCGTGACGTTATTTATCAATGAACGTCTCGTATTCACGTGCATTGCGGCTCCTTAAAATATGGAGTTTTTTTAAACCGAATTTTGGTTGCCGACCACTGCCCAAACCCACACGTGCAGAGTCGCTATTGAGCCAGGGGTGCTGTCACTGTGAGTGTCGCGGGTGTCCCAACCCTCTCAGCGTTTTTAGATAAGGACAAGAGATTCCCAAAACATTATTGGGTACAATAATAGGGTTTTCCCCTTTTTTCTGGCAACAAAACTGAAACCTTTTTTTTACAAGGATTCATGTCTGCATTAACCACAATACCTGTAGTCAAAATGCAAACAAAAAACATACTATGATAATATATGCATTGTCCTTGAAACTGATTGGTCCATACCAAGGGACCGCTTTCTTTTGAGCCTCGACCCAATGGGTGCTCGACCAGATGACATCATCTGGTCTAGCAGATGACCAGATGACGTCATCTGGTCGAGCAATAAACGTCAGCAGATGACGTCATCTGGTCAAGCACCAATTGGGTCGAGGCTCAAAAGAAAGCCGTCCCTTGGTGTGGACCAATCAGTTTCAAAGACAATGCATATATTATCATAGTATGTTT